GCTAAGCCCCAGATTTCAGTCAATCTATACCTGAGAAACTTACCTTCATGATTTGAGTGCGTGCATGCGTGCGTGGGGACACAGCAGGTGCATGGCCTTGTTCAAGTTTATGGTGTGTTGAAGATGCCTCCGTTTCTGTAGGTGTTTATTCGATTAAAATAACGAGAAATCGCGAAGTTCTTGTTATTTAATCCTTCACAACCACCTATGCGGCTCAGATGCAGTGTTGCGGATTATTCTATTGTTCTCTGAGATAAGCGCAAGGTGATAATTTTGACCTTGCAGCGGAATGGTAGATAGACAATCCTTTTGTCAAGTACACTTGTCCGAGGAAGGTCCCGCTGCAAAACTGATATATTCAGCAAAATAAATTTTTGTGGAAAACGAGAAAAAAAAATTGCCAAATACAGCTAACCAAAACCAATATTACAGAAAACAAGCATGATTTTTATTTCATAATTATCTGGAACCTAACCAAGAAATGTTTCGCAGCTCACCACGTCGACCATATTGAATATCAAGCGGTGCAGTGATGTCAGGTGTTGGGTACACAGCACGACCAGGCGTGGTACACAGCGTGCGGTCGGTTCGTTTTTGGATCATTTCCGGCTCTTGAGTATCAAGAAAACGTTGGGTATAAGTATGCCTGATTAACAGAGTCAAGTGATATGATAGAGTTACCGGTCAATTCAAATGGCGAAACTTGAGCGAGCTTGCAATTCGCGTGTGATTCCTCGGTCCGCCTGCACGGTAAACGCGACCGCGCTCCCGATGTGTTTCTGTGTGCGAATCTCAATGACGCATCCAAAGCGGAATTCCGCAAACAAGTGTCATTCTTCCACTCTCGAAAAACGACTGCGCTTTCGCCCGTCCGAAACTCCCTGAGCATAACGCACTATATTGGCCGTGCACCGCTAAACGTAACAAACAATTTATGTGCTTGTTGTCTTCAAAATAATTAATATTTCATGTAATCGAACTAAAGCCAACTAGCTGCGCTCTGCAGGCGACGCTCCCTGGAGAGGGATCAAACTCAGCTCGGGTTTCCAGCGAGGAGTTGTTTAAAACAAATGCAATGACCTTGCACACTATTTCTGTTTTGCGTGTGCGCACTTCGAAGCAAAGCTGTGGAATGCAAGCCCATTAGTAAGAACTTAAGTTCCACGCAGAGCGGCTTGTATTTGATTGAATTGGGTTTACAGGTAACCACGTTGCATCGGGGGATCTCAGCGCGCTGGATGTAGTCCCCACTGTTCAGTGTTGCTAGGACATCATATACGTGGAAACGAAAACGCGTCATATTCAAAAGTATTTGTGTCCTATAAAAATATGTAACTTTGCAAGATGTTCAGGAAACGTATGTTATTATGCGACTTGCATAAGATTAGTGACTATTAAAATATCAAACTTAAGGGAATTGAATATTTTGAGCACAACATTACATATCAATTGATATATCTAATGAACAATGATTTGTTTCTATTAATCAAAGCACGTGTTATAACTCCGCTGTGCTCGCAGAAAGGTACATACAGGGTGTTTTTTAGGCCTAAGAGATTAGATTGAAAAGAGTCGTGAAGGTCATACAAATGATACCTTTGCAGATGAGTCATACGGCCAGGGGAACACAGTACAGGGGCTAATTGTCACGATCATCAACTACTTAGCTATATTTGCTAATTAAATATTGGTTAGTGAAGTTATAGTTCGTTAGAAACTCAGGAAGGTAGGGCGAGGGAAAGGATAGACCGGGGAGGAGGACGCAGACGGAACGCGGGAGAGGAGATGGGGAAACTTCCTCCTCCCTCCAGCGTTCCGTCTGGTTCCTCCTCCTTGGCCACCCTTTCTCTCGCCCTACCTTCTTGAGCTGTAACTTATTATAGACATATGGTTTCATTTACAAATTTGCTGAGTTTCATCGAAATCCCCTAAACAAGTAAGTAAACTTTAGAGACGCTTGAAGCGTGTTGGTAACGCGGTGGTGCGCTAAACTTCCACTCGTGCAAGTTGCACTAGGCTAGTGATGAGATTAAGCGCAATCGCGGTTTTTCCTGGTATGGTCATTTGCGTTTCCGCGCTATCAGCCTTGAGCCTGTTGCAAGAGGGGTAACTTTAGCCAACTACTGCACTTTCAACGCGTTTAGTCTTCCGAAACTTTACTCGTTTAGTGGCTTCCGATGACGCACTGCAAGTTTCTAATTTGAACTTAATGCTTGTTTTTACCAATTAAAATATAATTAAAGTGTTTAGTTAATTATTCATTTCATCGGGAAGATTATAAGCCTGCATTATGTCCCCTGGTTTCATAACTCACCAGCGAAAACCTCATTTGTGTGGCTTTCACGGCTTTATAAAATCAAATCTGTAAAGCATTAAAAAAAATCACGCTGTATATAGTGTAGCGTTACCGACGCGTTGTGAGTTATCGGTGTAACACTGATTGTTTCGCAGTAAGCGAAGACAGACAATATGGTGGCTGCACGTCTTGAATAGTGAATATATTGCTAGAGTGTTATAAAAACCTAGATTACCTATACATTATATTCGACATTTTATGATGAAAAAACATCGCTCCACTTTCCCCGCAGATTACGCGAAAGCCAATCGGATTAATGTCTAGACGACCTAAAGCCAATGATTGCGCGTATGTGGCAATGGGACATAAAAAAGTCGCCCGCGCTGTCGAATACGATGTTTTACTGGTTCAATTTCCCAGTGAAGCCTCTACTGAGCACCCTTCGGCGAATAAACTTTCTCTTTCAGTTCTTTATTGGAAAATAGACGCCCTGCCACTGTTGCTAGAATGACTTCATGAGAATAAAGTAAATAGCGTGTTTGTTTCTGCCTCGGCCAGGGGGTTGGAATTTATAACTTATGCAAATCATTTCCTTCGGATACCTAGTTACCTTCCACTTCTTTAACATAACCGTAACTTAAAATATATAATATCATAAACTTTTTTCACACACGTGCAAATGTATAGACGTAAATCTAATGCAAGTTGTAAATATGTAAATGTAAATTCTTGAGGCGATTGCGCCTCAAGAATTTACAACTCACATATTACTTTAATTGCGCTTATATTAGATACAAACCATAGAAGCCTAAAAAGGCGACACATTCTGTTTCCGCACCAAGCAAACAAATGAAAAATAAAAAAAAGTAATAAACACCGCTTCGCAACGCGTTGCATACTTACAATTATAAAGCTACGATTACATATATATTTACAGGTGTGTTTGGCTGCGTAAGGACTCAAATCTTCTAACCTATCTCATACAAGGTGGCGTGCTTTAGTATGCAGATAGCTCTGCAGTGCTTATAAATTCTTAAATAATGTCACACCGCATAGTAAATAATTCGACACGTCTAACTCGTATGATCTGTTAATTAAAAACATCTTAATGGACACTGCTCAATTGTACAAGTACAGTTTTAATGTACAATATGTAAATGCGTTTTACAGTTTTAGTGACAATTGCGCTGATTGTATGCGTATGATTTATAAACTGCTTCAATATTCGTTATGCATGAGGGACGTCTGCTTTGCTAAAATGGCGCGAAATATTTTTATATCAGCAATTTATTTAATTTTATTTTCAGTAGATGAACCAAATCACTGTATTTTAGATATATAAATAAATTACTTTATTTAAGCGATTCAAAGTTCACTTGGAGTTTTCACTTGGAGCTAAACGAAACTTATTATTAATAATTCCAACGTTATAAACTACCCTGAATACTATTTGGGTGAGAAAAATTTCTAAAAGTCAAAAAGTCCACATCCAATGTTGTTTACAGTCTAAACAATTTTTATGACCGAAGCACCAGAATCGAGCTGCAAATCTATACAAATTATGTATTTCTTTCACTTATACGATATTTACACGTTTGAATTATACCTAGTTTCACCTTAAGTTCAAAGGTATACAGTTGACGCTACGAGCTGATGAGATTAATCAAACAGCGTAAAAAAGCGCACTATCATGCTGTTCGTCAGGTGTTTCTATGGGTTCTGTCACCGCTGAACCAATCATAAATAAGGCTCAATTAATCGCACGGTTGATACTGCTTGATTGGTCCCATTACTTTGTAGCGTCGGCTGCTTTAAGCTGGAAGGAAGCATAGTGAAATACGGATGAATGTGAAACAAAAAGGTAACCGACCTGCGGCGTGCTACGGTGCCCACAACTGGGTTGCGCATGTCTGCGATACTTTGTTTTACAAACGCTCATGATTCCATCGTGTGTCAGAAAGTTCACATTCGCTAAAACACTAAAACCTTGACTGATAGACCATATGCGAAGTGCACATCGCCAGCCAGTGCTGCGCCAAAGAACATGCGTCGTCTCACCAGTTGGCAGTTGGCTTCGGCGCTTGCGAAAAAGCCGGGGTGCCAAAGTGTAGTTCTTAAGGATTCTTCGGTCGCACAAGCAAACGCGCAGAGAAAGCGCTTCCGGATTTCGAAGCCAAATTTCGAGCTGAAGTGTGCGTGCGCCATGTTGGTTGCGGAAGAAAACAAGCGACCGACGGGGCGACGAGCGCGTGCATGCGCAACAAGTGTGTAAAACGATACTAACCCTCAGCTCGCAGGTGTGGGTTAGGATCGATGACGGTGGGCAGTAGGCCTCGGTTGGTACCGACAACGCTACGAAATTGAGAAACAGCAGGGGCAGTCGCGACGGAACAAAGGTGGCATTGCAGAGAGTATTGCCAGACGTTCGAACAATTTTACATATGGTCTATTAGAGTTAAACAACTGACCTGAAGCCGTGAAAAAAAAAAAAAAGAAGCTACTGCATCATACGTAGAGAATATATGCGTCCTCGCCGTTACAAGGAAATATTTTAGTGGTCAAAGCAATGTACTAATTGCTGGAAAGTATTGGAATGACCATCACACAGTTAACGTATTTCACCGATTACGAAATTGCTACCAACGGTAAGAATATAAAAGCATTTCACACCTCACACATTTGCATGAACGCAAGACATACTCACAGCATTTCACCCTTTTAGTCTGAAGCTGCATTGTCACGTTCGTCGTCGGCGCCACTGTCTCTGGGTACGGTGTGTAGGTCGTCCAAGGCCAGGTCGTGGCGTCGACATCAATCCCTGCGAATGCACACGCGACCACGACAAGCCCTGATAAGTACATTGACCTAATTCTACACGAAAAAGGTTTTTTTCGCTCTCTTTCAAGACAAGCTCGTGCTGGAACACGAAAACAGCTCCAGATCGTTACAGGCTCTCCAGAGTACGCGTTGGGCGGTACGTGTTAAAAGTGTGCACATAGTTCGTCCGCTAGTCAAGCCAGCGTGTCTGCATACGTAGAGCAGAGCCTCTGTAGCGGCCGAACCCAGTTTAGAGGCGCTGCGCACGTTCATCATACGTGCCTCGGGGCAAAGTCGCGCTTCAAGCGCGGAGCAGCGGTTTGTCGAAGCAGTAAACTTTGAGCGGAAGTCTGGGCCGCGATACTTTCAACAACGGAAGCGTCATATTGCGGAGGGTGAATGAGTGACAGAGGTGCCCTGCAATGCAGATAGTTTTCCGCCCCATGGAAACAATTCTCGCGGAACACGGCGGCCGCCAATAGCTACAGCTAGCAGCATTTTAGCAGAACTCAGTGTGCTCAGCAATCTGCAGTTTTTACTAAACACAGCAAATGAAATGACTACTGCTGTTAAGTTATATATATATATATAAAAACTCGTTTTGTACGATTTGTTTTATTTCTGATCTGTCTTTAAGTTTCCGTCTTCTGTATCACCATAAACACCTGCGGTAGGGAATATATCATAGTGGCGGCGTTCCTGGGTTCTCAATTAGTCCCTGTGGTCACGTATAAGATGCTACTGGGTGTTTTCAGATAAGATCGAACAACCATGTCCGGTGACCATTTCTAATTTTGATGAAGAAATTGTATTTTGCTGGCCCTATGCCTAAAAAAGAATAAAACCAATCCTTATTTCGGAAAAAGAAATTGTCTTTGCGAAAAAAATTTGTAAGCATCCCCTCAGTCACGTGCGCGTTTTGCGTATCGCGCGACGTTAACATTTCAAGCAACTTCTAAAAAAAAAATTAAAAAAAAAACGTTTTGGTTACGGCTCTAGAGGTATTTACTGACAAATTAGGCATAGGAAGGATTGAGAAAAGGTATTAATCACCGAATCGTAGGGTCGTTATTTACAGAAACAAAATCGCGAGCACGGAACATTGCGCAATAACGCTCTTGATTAAATATTTGTTTTCTCCGTATTCATAAAAGTTAAGCTCTTCAAACTTTGCCAGTGTGTTGCCCTTTATATAGATCATCTGTGCATGAAATATTGTTGTCCTGGTTAGAGGGAGAAATTTAAAAGAATCGCTCACACAGGGGCTTCTACCTTAATATGCATTATTTTGAAAATAATTTTAAAAACCTCATCTTTTGTATTGTTTAAACTCTCCAAAATTAACGTTTATAATATGTACTAACAGAGTCTGCAAAAACATAATGAAATATTTCTGTGGCTTTGAAGTTATAAAGCGAGAAATATGGCCAAATTCACGCTCACGCGGTTGCCACAAATGAAGCGTGCACATACCCATTTTTCACAAATTCGTTATTACCGTATTTACTCGAGTAATAGCCGCACTATTTATGAATGCGTCCCTCGCGTCTACTTTCCCACAGAGCACATATACAGCCAATCATTGTGTTGCGCGTAAAGAACATAGCGAATAACCAGATCGAAATCACGAGTGTCCATACTAATACAATCTTCACAGATGGTAACTTCGCACGAAGACTTTATCGCTGTCCTGCGAACAGCTGGACTCATGCTGTTGATCCCGGTGATTGCCAATCTGCGTGCTCCGCGGAAAGGCTAACCCTCAGGTTTTCCTCATAAACAGTGCGGCTATCGCTCAAATAAATACGGTATTAAAAAGCGTAAGAATGCTACGGGGTGGTCAGAAAAAGACAAATTGAGAGCGGAGATATGGACGCTAGTTTCGAAGGAAAATTCCTGATACATTTTCGTACAACGGACCCAAAAATGCCCATGGGCCGGAGCGGTCGAGAGGCGCCACCCTCTAACATACTTAGCGGTGCCTGTTGCAACAGTTGGCGCCTAGCGTCTCCGTGTACGCGACATAAAGGAAGCAACCAGAGCGACTTTGCAAGCAGATCAGCCTACAACCTTGCTGGTAACATGATATAGGAGGCAGGGCCGGCAGAACCTTAACCTTCGCCGCCTATGAGCGCCAATAGATCCGCCGCCGTCGAGGGCCGCACAAAGCGTAAAAAATAAAGATACATAAAAAAAAAAACGAATTCCGATATATCGAGATTGTCTGTATTGGGCGTTTTCAGATAGGATCGAACGACCATGTTCGGTCGACGTTATTGTTTTGTTTTTATTAAAATATCTATTTTACTTGTGCCACCGGAAAAAAACATATTCGAACTTTTTTTTTGCGGAAATCTTGAGGAACAAAAATCATGAATTCACTGTCGGTATACGCCCACGTGTTTGCGACCTGCGTGAAACCGTGCCTTCGGAAATGTATAATAGAAAAGCTGTTGTCGGCTTAACTTTAATCTTTTTTCTTTTTTGCATACAATGTACATAAAATAAAAGGAGGTAAACATGTATTATCGATCACGAAGCAATTCAGAGCTTTATGGATTCGGTTCATAAAAGGCTGGAAATTCAAATTCTTTTAACATGATTTCGACGCGCTTGTTCAATATTCGCATCAATTGCCATTGAGTTGACAACGATAACATTTCTAAAAAAAATACACTGAAATGTAGACAGGTTACCGATTTTGCAATAATTGAAAACTCAGTTTAAAATGGAGGCTATCTTAATTTTTCTTCTACTTTTCACAGATCAAGGCTCAACATCTGTCCTATTAGGCCCTTCAAAAATGCTTCGCAATATTTCTTGTACATTTTGTATTGTTTCACAGAGCGATAAATATGCTAAATTGCCAGAACGGGAGTAGAGAAAGGTAGGAAAGATATAGTAACACTGGAGCTAGGGGTCAAAAAGGGTACGGACAGACAGGAAACTCCGAACACAGCTAAAGATTTATTTTTCAGGACGCCTCCTTAAATAGGTCCACAACCAGCTCGCCTGCCTACTTCAGAATCAGACTCAGAATCAGTTCGTTTTTGTCACAGCGCTTTTACACACATGTGACAAGGGGGGCCAGGAAAAAAACCTGCAAGTTTGCAGCTTGACAGGTTCCTGCCCCCTAAAACACAGGGCAGATCGCCTGCCTACTTGCTTTAACTTCAAAGGTAGGGCGTTGCCGATTTCAAACAAGGGCAACAAAAGATGTAGAAAAATGCAGAAAGTCTGTGAGGAGAAAGCACTGTGACGAGAGTTCGTGAAAAATTAAACTTGATACCAAAGATTACAGGTGAGTTTGAAGTACGAGTCAACAATTAAAATACAAATTCTCGGATCAGTGAATTTCGGAGCGTACCCTTCGCAGGCTGCTGACGACCAGGTTTAAATAGCGATAAGAACACATGTTTGAAGTGGTACAATTGAAACGAGTTTAATGAATCAAGATCCTGTGGGCATATTCGGCGCTTGTCGCGAGCATCCTTTCTGCCGGACGCTGACCTGAGTCGGTTACGGCGCTCTTATGGCACTCCGAGGAGGAAACTTTTTTTACCGTTTTACCTGTAGCGATCACTGTTCATTCTTCTTAGTGACACCGCAAGCTCGCGACCTCGATCTGCTTTTCAAAGCCACAGGAGACTTTATACGTTCAAAGATATATCGTTTCTGCGTCTACTGTTCTTGCCAAGCAGCTGTGGTTGCGAAGTGTCGGACCGTGTAAACTGCCACAGGTGACAGGACTGAATTCCAAACACAACAGAAACAGAGTCCCACTCTTTTGCTTTCATGTCCTTGAACGCATTGACGTCAGCTTTCGGAAGGTGGATTAGTTTCACGTTCGGCAGTTCAGTGTTCAGTGGGGCAATCATCTCTGATGCTGACTTGATCACCGACGCGGTGGGCTGTCGGAGGTTATACAACGTTACCTGGTGCTTGACACGACCACCAATTCCATCGCAGGCACTCTTGCCACGTCTAGTTGAGAAAAAAAGTCGACAGAATAGTCGACGGAAAACCATTGCGCGCTCCTTATCACCATTCGCGCGCGCCTTATCTCTTATCATGAGGTTTTGACGATTTGTATTAATAAGAAAACCACGATGCAAGTTCCTTAAACCACGTGATAGATGATAAGCATGGAGTGCTCCCCGGATCTGTTTCTCGGTAAGGATTGCGGTTGCATAAGCTGCCGTGGTAGTGGCAGAGTACTAAGTGTGGGGTGACGTTACTAGTCCCACTAACATGGGCGTACCAACCGGGGGGGGGGGGGGGGGGGGGGCGGGGCCGTCTGCCCCCCCCCCCCCCCCCCCTTACTCAAGAACAACTTTGTACGCCACTGCCCGCTAACAATGCGCAGCACGTAACGCTCCCGCATGCGTTTCGCGGTAAAGACTGCGGTTGCGTAAGCTGCCGCGGCAGCGGCAGCCGTCCGAAGTCTTTCATATATAAAAATGATGTGGTACATTACATTCAGTTTTCTTTCGTCAATCCTTCTGATATAGACCCTTTTGCTGTTTAACATGAACTGCCGCTTTCTTCACACGCTACTTCCGGTCGCAACGACTTTGCAAGCCTGTTGAGCTTGCTTACGTAACCAATGGTAAAAAACATAAATCGTACACGGAAAACACAGCTGGAGATTTAACGAGGGCTTTCGGCTGTACAATATAATATTCCGCAGGAGGCAAGTTGGTTTAAAAGAATACTCGTAACATTTTAAGATATCTCGCACTCCATCGCTCTTTTGGCGTTCACCTGGTTAAACCGCCGCATCTATGTTGCAAGCAATGGTTTTTAGGTGGCCTTTCTTCATTCTTTTTATAAACCGTAAGTTCTCTGAGACATCAAAGACTGGAGGACCACGTGGTGGCATTTACCCTAATCAGGTTCTATAGTACAGTGGGCAGTCGTTGCAGATGACACCACTGCTTCGCTGTCCAACCATCTTCAAACGTGGACTGGACATTTAATTTTTAAGCATGTGTATGTGTC